AAGCAAAAGAAATTTTCCGGTACCGGGAATCGAACCCGAGCCTCCTGGGTGAGAGCCAGGTATCCTAGCCACTAGACCATACCGGACTTGAGAGACAAATCTAAAATTTCGGTAAAAAGAATTAAACTATATTTAATAAACATAAAAATAGAAATTTCCGATACCGGGAATCGAACCCGAGCCTCCTGGGTGAAAGCCAGGTATCCTAGCCACTAGACCATATCGGATTTGTCGTGAACTTATTTAAGTAAACAAGGTGTGAAAATTACTTTTTGGAAATTAATAAATTTTAAAATATTACAAAGTAATACCTGAATTTTTATGTAAATCGCTGCAACATTAAACAAATTTATTTATCGTTTCATTATTATATATTGTTATTTTTTTATGCAATGAATACTTTTGTACCGTTCATTTATTGACATATTTCTATTTTTTATAGTTATAAACAAGTTCATAATATTTTTAGTAGAAAGTTGTAATTATTTTTAAAGATCTAGAAATGGCGGGAAATTGATATCATACGATACCAATATCCAATCGTATTCAAGTTTGATTGGTTAATCCGGCAACAGCGGCAACAGTGCGTCCTGACTCACTGTACTGCAGTACATGTCAGTTGCTTCCTTAGTAGCGAGGAATCAACGTGAGGTTAGTATAATCGAATGAGAGTACAGTTTTTCAAACAAAGACCACTCAAGAAACAGAGATTCTACGTCTTTTGAATGAGTGATGTCAATACGGTAAGATTTATACCAAGCGCTCTTTCAATAAATTTATTAAATAATGGCAAAATTATTTACAAATTTTGTTTCAGAGTCATTGACCGCAATATACCTCCATTTTTTAAAGTTGATCTTAAGTATACAAATAGCTCATATTCTTAATATATTTTAAATACGAGATACACAATCATTATTGATCACTAAAAACCTGTTGTACCCAATATGCTATGTAAATTTAAATAAAAATGTAACTTCTCTTTAATATTGTTTTACAATAACAATTCTTTATTTTAAATTATATAAATACATTACAATACATACTCATTGAGTTTACTTAATTAGCTATTCAATGTAGTTTATAGTTAGTACAATATAAAATTAGTTTCAGTATATATTTCTTTCATAATTTTTATTCATTATTTTAATATTGGGTTACATGTTAAATATAGGCACATGGCTAAAATTCGTATTTATTCTTGTGAAGCTTCTTTCTGTATGATGACCTTAAGTTAAATGTTAAGTTAATTAAGTTAAATCAAATAATATTTGCAAACTAATTTATTCTAATAAATTTTCTCTTGCAGGCCTTAAAGTAAAAGTAAAAGATGATAATACATATGTGAAAATAAAGATGGATAAATTACATCAAAATATCCTTCAACAGCTACGAAGGAATATAGTCCTAGATATGGATGTATTTAATGGTATAATACAACCTCTAAAATCGGATTACATATTAACTGAACAAGATGTAGCAAGAATGGAAGCATGTGATTCTAAGGAAAAAAGAGCTGAAATTCTGTTAGACATACTTCCAAGGTATACAATCAAATAGAACTGATAGACATGCAAAGAAAATAATTATGATGTTAATATTTTATATCAAATTCTTGTAGTCGAGGACCAGATGCATTTGATAAATTCCGTCGAGCTTTACGTCATCATTATGAATGGCTGAGTGAAGACATGGATAAACTAGAAGAAAGTGAAAAAACATTGACTGATATACGATATGTTAATACGCCTAGTCTTCCTCCTGTCTCACCGTTAACTGTGATTAGAGAACAAAAGGTATGACATTCATAGATAAATAAAATATGTAATTAGCATAGATAGAATAATAGATGACCTTTTGTTTATCTATCAATTCATATGTATGTGTATGATGAAAAACATATCTAATATATAGATGAAAATACATATCAACATTTAAATACTTTTACTATTTTATGTGTATGCTTATGGATATGAATCATGTAAGTTAAAAAAAAAAGTTGCTAAATGTTTCATAGCACTATTATCTTATACATGAAGTATATAATTCTTACATAAAGTCAGATTAATACACTTTAATTATAGGTAAAACAGTTAAAAGATTGTCTTGAAAAATTACAACCAAACGAATATGTTGTACTTCATGGTATGAAAGGATTTGGAAAATCATGTTTAACAGCTAGTACTTTAAAGGATACAAAATTTGTAAGAAATTCGTTTCATGTGAGTTTTTGCAAATAAAAAGTGTGTTTTTAAACAAAAACTTATATTGCAATATAAAGAAAAATTGGTTAATTTCTTCCAGAATGAAGTTTATTGGATCAAATTTGGGTATACACGTTCAGTCGATGATGAAATATTAATTCAATTAAACAGACTGTATCATCTAGTTAAAGATTTAGAAATGTTACCTGAAACATTAAAACCAGAACCTCTAAAAGATTCACTGATCCATTTCTTAAAACATCACTTCAGTCGAGAAAGAAACTCTCATGCGTTATTAATTTTGGATGATGTTTGCAATGCTAAAATGATTGAAGTATTTGATTTTGAGTGTAAAACATTAGTAATAACTGCTGACCGTGACCTTGTATCGGATAAAAGACCTTTTGTAATTGAGGTAAATTACTTTATAATTATACATGTTTTTATCTTCATAATGCAAATATTAAAGACAATGTATAGCATATATGTTCATAATGAAATATATTATTGTAGATGAATGATGGCTTCACAGAAGCAGAAAGTTTAGGTCTTTTTGCTAAAGTATTAGAAACTGAAGTTGATAAACTTCCTTTGGAAGCAAAACGTATTCATGAAGAAAGTAAAGGGATGCCTTTATTAATTGCTATGTTTTCTGCTCAGTTTGAAGAATTCAAACATGATATGAAATTACGATCAGATAGATGGAAATATTATTTAAATTCTCTGAGAAATAAAGATGAAAAGAATCAGTAAGTTATATATGTTTAAGAGCTTTAAATATACTTACTTTAGTGAAACTGTAATTCGTTCTTATTTTATTATTTTTAGTGTCATTAAAAAATTTCTAGAAAAGCAAGAAGCAATTTTTAATATATGCATAGATCAATTGCTTCCTGAAATGAAAAAACGTTATGATGAATTAGTAATTTTTAGAGAAGATATTAATATAATGCCACAGGTAAAATGTCTGATTATATAAATACGATAAAATTAGTTTAAGTACTTTTAAATTATTTTAAAAAATTAAAATGTTTTTGTGTTTTTTTTACTTTATAGACGTTAGAAATTCTTTGGGGAGGAGTACCATTTCAAGTTGAAGAAATGATGCTCGATTTATGCCATAAATCATTAGCCGCCAAACAATGGAATAATGAACTTCGTAGCTATATATACGGTGTGCATGATTTATTACTTTGTCATTTACGAAAAAAATTTTCTAAAGAGGAATTAGTGAATATGCATAAGTTATTAATTGAGAAATATCGTACATATTGCAAAGGTGACTTTTCAAAACTACCAGCAGATAATTACAGTTATTCATACATTGGATATCACCTGAAAGAAGCACAATTATATGACGAATTTCCCAACATATATCTGAATTTCAATTTTATTCAAGCAACAATATTTCACAGTGGTTTGAGCAATTTATTAATCGATTTAGACACTTACAGAGAGCACATTACACAAAATTTTAATCCAGTGTTAGAGGCGCATCTGATTGATCTTAAAAAGTTCTTAGAAGAACAAGCAAGTGTCATAGCAAAACATAGACATAAGAAGTGTTTAGACATAGTACAAATTGCTATGAACCATCCTTATGAAGGATTTGTTAAGGATACAGCCATGAAACTTGCAAAAGAAAGATTTGAAAATTTATACGTCCTTCATGATAAAAGAATGGAACAAATGGATATACCATGGAGCGAAGAAATGTCAACAGAAATTTGTACAACTTGTTTCACAAATGATCCAGATCTTATTCTAGTTGGTAATAAAGCAGGTGAAATATTTTTATGGAATAGTCTCTCCAAAAGACAAACGGTTTTCAGTGGACATGACAAAAGTAGTAGAATAAAGAAGATTGTTATGTCTACAAAAGACGACTGTTTTTTGTCACTAGATGATCAGGGTATAGTTAGACTTTTTAGACTTTCTGATGATGAAAATTATGATGAAAATCGTATTGCTTTATTAAGTCCAAGACAAAAGCAATCTTTCTGGAGTGGAATCTTCGCAAGCAACTTTCTTCATGATGACAGTTCAAACAAATTCTTCGTTGAAGAAGAAATTATATTGGATGTGACATTTGCACAAGACAGTAATTATATTGCAGCTTGTACAAATAGAGGGACAATAAAAGTATGAATATATGAATGAGTATTATTGAACGTTTATATTATTCTATTCTAAATAAGTAAAATAAAATATAAGTTTTATTTCAGGTTTGGGATTGCTATGGACATACTTTATCAAATCACACCCATAATCCTCAGAGGTGAGTTTTTTACTATTCAATGTATATAACATGTTGTACATCATCTTACCAGCATTTTTAACATTATATTTCATTAAAATTGTTGCAGTAGCAGTTATCTAAAGAACATAGTATTTTCAGACGGTTGTAATTTATTGCATATAATGGATGAAACGCATGGGGTTTTAATATCGTATCGTAAATATAACTCGGAATACAGATATTTATCACAGTACAATCCAGATTTACAAAAAAAGAAAATTATATTGTTGCATAATGTACCAGAACAAAATAATTCATTAATCGTTGTATCCGAGGATAAAGCTGTATATATAAAATGGTTCGAATCAGGGAACAATCAAATGCACAGTTACAAAAAACAGATCAGAGCGAACGTTGAAAATAAAAATACAGTTTATGTTTGTGGTGCTTTAACATATGATGGCCAATATTTAGTTTTGGCAGATTCTAGCGGTTTTATAAATATATGGAAAGCAGATGTTGGACTTCATCCTATAGCTACATATAAAAGCCGTGTATCTTCTTTGGATACATACTGGTTAAAAGAAGAAGGCTATCATATTATTTGTGGTAGTGAAAACCGGTTGCTCCATAAGTGGAAACTACCAGTAGTAGGAATTTGTAAATCAACAAGAAAACCTTTGTTCGATGCAGCAGTAGAACCAATATATAAACCAGATACAATTGTTATAGAAAGTTTCTCAAATACTATTGTCACACTAGTTGACGGTAATGTAGTAGCAGAATCTAAACCATTTGTTGGAAAAATAAATAATTTAACTCTTTCATCGGACAGAAAGAAAATAGTATTTGCTACAGATGAAGGAATTGTCAGTTTATTTGATATAGACAATAAAGAGACCATACGTATTTTGCAGAATACAGAATTAATTAAAATTATTAATATAGAAAACAATAATATAATAATCTGCAGAGAAAAAGATGATAATTTAAGGGTAAGAAATGTTTGTTATATTAATAACTATAATAGTTTAATATTTTTTTCTAATATATTTTTAATCGTTTATAGATATGGCAAAACAATGAAGTGACATATATAGTTGAAAATACAGGATGTGTAATTTCAATTCATGAAGTGAATGAAAAATGTGTTGTGACAGTAACAAGAAATGGTATAATCAAATTATGGAATATAAATGGTACAAACTGGTTGCAAATAGACAGAGTAACTATTGGAGGCTCTGGCACAATCACTATTTTCAGCTGTTTAAGTTATTGGAAAATTATTTTGGCTGTATTAAATGAAAATGGAGACGTAAATTTATATAAACTACAGGAGGATACAATACATGTACCAGCATCTATAAAAATCACTGAATATTTTAGAAAAAAATACACCCAGAAACTAACGTGTTGTGAAATTTCACAAAATGATCAATATTTAGCTATTGGTTTTGAAAATGGAAATATTTCTGTAAGTTACTATTACAAATTTAATTCTTTAAAAATATGAATAATAAAATATAAATACATGAAGAATACCATAATATGTTGTAACACTATCATTTTTCAGATAATTGACATATCTTTGCAAACGGAAATACGTCAATTACATTTTCACAAAGCTTCTATCACTCAATTGCATTGGGCACCTTCCACGATAGATGTACCTGTTTTACTTTCTGTAAATTCTGATGAACTAGCATGGTGGAATATTTCCTTCGATACATTCATAAATAAACAAAAGAAGAGAATACGATCAAGAATGAATCGTAGTGCCAGTTCTCCATTAGTTGGCAATACTTCAATTAATAATTTGCATTTATCTACCAGTCAAAGCGTAGGCTCAAATATGTATAGTGCACAACAAAAGTCAGATACTACTACCACAAACGGTGTACACGACGTGAATAAATACTGGAAACTTAAAAAAGGTAAAGATTCAGACCTACCAGCGCTATTAGCTGTAGTTGAATTACCATCCAATTTTCTTGCAAAAGTATGTCTATCCACTGATTTCACAAAATTTGTCACAGTTGATATACATGGATCAATTAGTACGTTTTCAGTATGCGGATACAATTAATGATAGTTATCCTAAGTAATAGTTTTTGTAATTGAATTTTTATCTCGGTAATATTACGGTGTAAAACCTGAGAATGTTATCAAGATCAAATGTGTGTTATGTAACTTTTACTTGCAATTAGTAAAAATGTCAATTTGAAATTTGTGGACAACACATACAACTATTGTTCAATTAAGATAAAACCGTCAATGTATAAATAAGGAAAATGCCCTTAAAATATGTATGGGCCTACATAGCTGATGATTACTAATACAATTTAGGTAACAGCATAAGTAAATTATTGTACAACTATTATTGACTGATGCTCAAGACTACATATGAGAAATACGTACAGCTCATAACAGTACTCCTATTTTCACTGCCACTTGCATTTATCAGTAAATAAAAGGATCTCTTATTTTTACATATTTTTATAACTATATGAAACATAGTTCCATTTTTGACTGCTCTTTTTATACAGTACTCTACAAAGTTTAAAGATTTTTCAATGTTTCGAAACCTATTAATCTACATACTTTTAAAGCATTTTTGCTAATGACAGTTTTTTAAATCAAGTTACTAAACGTATTTCACATATTTTACATTTTTATTTTGTACAAACATTTTCTGTTTAGATTAAACAATTATACATTAATGGCAATTTAGCATTATGTGAGATATATGTATAAGAGTATATATGTACTTGTGTCACAAGTATTACTGCAATATGAAGTACATTTTTAATACAACATATACTTCTATTGTAAATATCAATGATTGTGATCTACTTAAAAGATTTATCTTCAAAAATTAATCATAAAAATGTTA